ACAGGGCGTGATGACTGGAGAGAGTGAGCTGAACTTCCAATTGCATGAATGAAATTACAATCATTATATTAAAATAAATATCTTTTTTTTTTTTTTTGGAATTCTGAATTTAAATTTTCAAATGATATCATTTGAAAATGTAAATTCAGAATTAAATTCAAATTTAAATTCAGAAGTAAAGTGTTACCAAATATTGTAACAACTGAATTTGTTTTACTGTTTTACTTAATTTAACCATATAAATTATATGCTGTTTTGATAGTTTGCTTATAAAATATATTTGAGACCAAATAGATCTGGCTATGAGAGACTATAGTTTGATTTAATCACTTTTGCTTTTGCATGACACACTGTACTGTAATGTACAGAATGTATTTTTCGACATTATCCTGGACATTGTAGAAGCATTCGTTTCATGTATCATAGAGTGAAAGAGAGGCTTTCGTGAGTGCGCGTTAACATCAAATCCTTTTGATTTTCCTGGCAAAAAACGTCCTTCATATAAGCCCTTTATAAGCTGTTCACACATCGGCTTTAAAAGCAATTAATACATGAACATTTTTATAGCCCCTTTAACGTGACAAATTGATATTTAATAAAATCAAATATCTTAAATGTTATGTTAAAGAGAGAAATATATTTTAATTGGTAGGGGAAATATGCTTAATTGTCCTAAAGATAATGGCACAATTAAAACAAATCTTATGCTTTTTATATCATTTTAATTTTAATAAAACATTTTTGAAAGTGAAATTTCCTCGAAATATGAATTCACAGAATGTTTACTCATAATTGTTGTTTCAGGCACTGCTGGAGTTATTGTCTCTCTGAGTCGGATCTTTACAAAGCTGCTGGTGGAAGACGAGAAGAACAACACCATCGTCTTCTTCCTGTTTTCAATCTCGATAGAGACGCTCTGTTTTCTATTACACGTGGTGGTGCGACGAACACACTTTGTCCGTCATCACACCGACAGAGCTCGCCGCAGCCACAGCTGGCTCAAAGGACAGGTTAATAATGTTACGACACAGAAGCGCAGTGGCTACCAGATACATTATGACAGCAGTGCAGAGGAAGAGGTAAATTCACACGCAGAAGCACTGGGGGACTTTTTGTGAGATATGGATCCTTCATTCATTGGTTACTGACAGAATCAGAGAGGGTTCGGTGGGTCTGTCTAACTGTTTTCCTTCTTACATTTAAAGAAAAGTTATCTTGCAAAAAAAAAAAATTATGATTTAGGTGTACTTGGTGTTTCAAAACTTAATGAGCTCCCTACAATAAACTTTTTAAATAGATGCTCACTTCACAAGACAATGCATTGTGAGACAAAACTCAGCGAAAACTTTTTATTCTAGATACTATACATACATTGCTTAGAATGATTTTTGACTCATGGCATTTCTGCACATTAGGATGGAGTGGCCTCAAGCACAATTGATGAGGCTGATGGAGTTAATCTGAGTAACGGTTCGCATGGAGATGAAATTTATGTCAGATTTGATGTCCCCAAACCAGACAACAAAGGGACCTGGATCAGTGTAAAGGGTGAGCCATAGTTTTAATCACAGACTGCAAAATAATGTTCATTTCAATGTCACATTTTTAGCACTGAAGTATCTAACATGATGGCTTTCTTACAGAGATTCTGGGTCAGAGGTGTGCTGTTGCTCGGATGATCTGGCCATATATGCTCTCAATCTTGGTGACATATTTCATCACACTGTGTCTGTTCCCTGGCTTGGAGTCAGAGTTACGTAACGATACACTGGGAGAGTGGCTGCCTATTCTCACCATGGCTCTGTTCAACATCGCAGACTTTGTGGGCAAGGTGAAATGAAACAGTTTGATGTCATTTCCAAGCATATAATATCATTTAACCCTCTGGGGTTGAGTCACACTCAAAAAAAAAAATTATAAAAAAATTATAATTAGTATTAATGCAATAATTATGACAAAATTTCCCCCCATTGAACATAATAGAAAAAAATATTTAAAAAAAAAACATTTTTTAATTTGTTTTAAAGCTGTATTTCATTTTAGAGTCAAGCCTAGGCCTCATAAAAGCAATTTTTTAAATGAGATGGATGCCATCTGGTGGACGAACTGAGCATTTTAAAAATGCAAAACAAATGTATAATCTGAATTTTTTGGTGTGTTTGTGTATAAAAGTGTGTTTGTGTGTGTGTGTGTGTTTCTGGAAGTGTCTGTTTTGCACTCTTGATGTTTTATAGATTCACCCCTTCACTGTTGTGTGCTATTTTTCAAGATTGTGGCTGATTTGTAGATTGTATGCACAAAAAACTCAAAAGTATTTTCACATTTTTACCAATTTCCCATTCATTTTCCATGCGGGTCCATTTGGACCCGAACACCCCAAGTGTGACTATTTTTTTTTACAACCACTTAGACTATTCATATCCTGTCCCCAATTTTTTGGGGTGTTCAAATACCAAATACCAACAAAGTCACCAAATTTCGGACCATTCCGAGGAAGCTGTGATTTAAAAAAAAAAAAAATTATTTAAATTCTTCGGGTCCATTTGGGCCGAACAACCCCAGAGGGTTAAAAAAGGTAAATGTTTGAAGCCGACAAAAAAACGGAAGTTGCGATGATGTTTTCTTCACTATTATGACATATCTAAGTGAAACAGCTTGTTGAACAAGAAATAATGTAAGACGGGACTTGAATTCGTCCTTTGGGAAATGTTTGGATGATTGGATTGTTGTGGTTTGCTATTTATAGTTTTCAGTCACGTGACTGGCACGGAGATCTGGAGGGCAAAACATTCACATAACTGTTGTTTGAGTCTCAATTTTTGTAAGTTTTGGGTACTCGCGATCCATACAATGCATAAACCGCATTTTTTCAATTACTTAACCTGCAAAAACACCTAAAATCTCTGAATGTACTAAAACAGTGAAAGATCAAATTCAGTGTAGGCTACACCTACTTTTTACTCGGAAAATTAAAATAAATACGTTACTTAAAATATACATCAATATTAATAATATAAATATTAAAAAATGTCTCAAATTAAAATAAATAGTTTGGGGTTTTAGATATTTCTCTTCATTTTAAGTCCATAGCTACACCAAAAACTAAATGGTTACATTTCCTTTGACTCACTCTCTTTAGATCTTGGCAGCGTGTCCGTACGAGTGGGGCGGTGTGCAGCTGCTGGTGTGTTCCTGTTTTCGTGTTCTCTTCCTGCCGCTGTTTGTGATGTGTGTGTCTCCTGTGCAGCGCCCCCTGCTGGCGCACCCCGCCTGGCCCTGTGGCCTCTCCATGTTGCTGGGTATCAGTAACGGTTACCTTGGCTCTGTACCAATGATTCAGGCGGCCGGCAAGGTGCCACTTCAGCACCGAGAAGTGGCGGGTGAGTATATCAGACACACATAAAGAGTGAGCAAAACGTGTGTAGATATTCCCCTACACACACCTGACTTAAGTTAAATACCCTGTGTGACCCAGACACCTACGATTGGTTCCACCAATTTAAATTTACTTAGAAAAATCAGTACTCAAAAATCTGAAAGAATTAAAAAATTCATGGATAGCGTAGCTCAAATATTTTGCTTTTATAATTTTATGAGGTTTTTCTCATGAGAATAATTGTGTGAAGCGGGAAAACAATTCTCCATTTGCTTTCCATTTGATCTCATTTCTGTCATTTGGAGAAGCAAATGATATATTGAAATTGTATTGTGATTTTCTCCACTAATTTTGTTTTCTCAATGATTATTTTACAGGGAACACTATGACTGTATCATATATGGCTGGACTGATGCTCGGGTCTGCAGTGTCTTACTCGACATACAGTCTGACCTCACAGGCACACTCTGCTCACACACTGAAACTCAACAACACACTCACATTACACAACTATATACCTGGCCACTGAGTGTCTCTCTCACACATACACTGGTTTGTATAGTTGTTAATTAGGTAAGAATAAAGAACATTTCCAAAGACTATTCCTGCTTAAACACCAGTTTAAGATGACAGTTTGCATACTTTGCCACTGGTTTGTGTAAGGAAAGTCTGCTGGTTAAGCTAGTTTGGGACTCCAGAATATTAGCATTTCATTCTGGCAACCAGCATCCACAACACGACAACATATGCTGGTCATCAGCCATGCAGATTTTTTCATCAGCTCATTGGTTGTGATACTCATTTGCATATTATCAGAGACTGTCTGAATTACCATAAAATTGTTAAATAAACTGATGTATGACTGTTTCTGTCATGTTTAAATGTACTAATGTGGACCATGTGTAATTTACTGTAAGATGTATGATTTATAGCTCTACTAAATGACTGGTTGATAAAGTTGGTTTGGTATTTTAGTTAATGCTTAAAGTCAGTAAAGAGGACGGCATAGGGGACAATTTAATCATCAGACAAAATACAAAAAGAAAGTGATTTTAAAAAGTAAGAGAAGGGTTGATTCTAGCACTTAATGATATACAGAAACGATTTCAATGCCACGTAACCTAAAACATAACATTAACTGTCTTAATCTGTCACGTAGTAACGACTACGGCAAATCAGCTGTTCTCCCGTCGTAGACTAATCAGAGTCAAATTAATAAAGAAAGAGAAGTTTTTATTCTTGCAAGAATAGGCCCAGTTGCCAGCAAAGCAGTTACCCTGTGGAGTGAGTAAGACCCCTTCAGGAAGACATGAGACAGCTCTTATACTCTTTCAAGGTTCCTCTTCACCCGCTGTATCTTTCACCCACCCAGATAAGGCCCTTACTTGTGCTTAGTCTCTACTTAAGGACACAAACTGGTACTAAAATAAACTGGCCGTCCCTACGGTCATATGTCCTGTCCCAAATGTTCCTGAAACATCACGCACAAGCATGTACACATATATTTTTACACTCTAAAAACTGCTGGGTTGGTTTAACCCAATTTTGTGTCTAATACAGACAAACCCAGCCATTGGGTTACATTTTTAACCCCATGTTTGAGTTTGTCCATATTTGACCCAAAATTGGGTTAAATCAACCCAGCATTTTTTTTAGAGTGTACTCATTGAATAGGTTCAATAGAAACACATGACAAACCACCTAGTAATATGCACGATACTGGTCAATTTCCACAATATATGCGGGAGTAGGAAACACCTCAAAAGATCTGACTTCATAAAGTGTTGCCAAGTATGTCTCTAATTCTTTCACAGTCATATTTAGGGGAGTTTCGTTCTTGTTCTCTCCAATATATCCTCGTGAGGTTTGACATTTGTTATTGTTGTCTAAGCAGCAGTATGCAGTCCAGAAATGACTAGGCACTTTCACTCTGTTTTCGTTTTTCAGTGTCCCTGTTCCTGGAACCACCCCTGTTACAATGAAAACAGAATATTCAAGATTAAGACATTGTTTGACAAGATCATTAGCGATTTTTCTTTCTAAACTCTTCCATTTGCCGTTGTTAAAAAAGCGGTCTTGTGGAGCAGCATTAGTGAGAGTGAAGGTGGCGTCAGCACAGCTCTGTGATCCTGCCTGGTAGACCGGAGCCAGATGACCTTTGTGGTACCCAGATTTCTTGTAGTCTTCACTGAGAGCTTGATGGACTCCGCGTAGGTTTATATCCACAGACCCCTCAGATGACATGTTTGACACCGCGTTCGTATCATCAAGCTGCAATATTGAAAGCAATTGAAAACATGAGCTTAACAACAGTTTCATTAGAAGATAAATAAAAGTAACTCATTGTAACTAAGTTAACTAATTGACACAGACTTTTAAGGTGCATTGGAAATAGGCCAAATCCACTGTGGTTTTTCAATCCTTCCATATGGCTCCTTCTGCTATTCAGATTTGTACCACAGTTTATGATCAATCTCTGTTTTGTTTAAGCATTTATCTGATTCTGTGATAATTTGAATTTTCCACAGTTTGGTAGTTTATTCAGTTTTGTCATGTTTCTTAACAGAATAATGTTTTCACTTACTTGAGGTTCAATGTACCAGTTTTTTCTTTTGCAGCTCTGTAGCCCTCTGAACCTGTAGGCTGAGTACACTGGGATCTTGTTGCCAGTATCATAATATGTGGCATAATAAGGAACACCATTTAGAGTTTGGCAGATCTGCTTGTACTGTGGTCCAGAAAATATTGTTGGTGATTTTCGATTTGCAAAAAATTGACCACACTCCCACTCGAAATTCTCCACAACTTCGGCTGAACCACCGGAGAGAAGAACCAGCATCAGCACATGAAGAAGCAGCGCCATGATGAAGAGGATGAGATGATGAATTATCGAGATCTCTGCAAAAACAATCACATGTGATTTTTTTTTTAAAATAATAATTTATATTGTGTAATATTTAAATTAAAAATGAAACAATTACCTCAAATTTATAGCACAACAAGTCAAAGATTAAGCTATTACCAATGAGGAGACAATAATGTAAGAAACATGATACATAAAACCATCCATCAATTAATTAAACATCTAATATTAAATACAGATGTAAAATGTAAAAGACCAAAAGCAACTGACACTTATTATTATAATTATAAAGGCTGCTGACTGGCATCAATGTCAGTTTACATGGTGAGCATTAGTCATGCAAGTAGATCCTGCATATGTTTACATCAATGAGCAAAGACCAAATTCTCCAAAGATGCTTTCCAAGCTTATATTTTGATATGCATATCAGGCTAAACATTTTCCATTTAGTCCAAATAGTGTAGGCTACATAAACAATATTGTGGAGCAAAATAATTAAAAAAACTGACTAGTCATCTTTTATAGACACTTTTTGGTGTCAAATAATACACAATATAATATATAATATTTGGTGTCATATAATAGACACTGTGATGAGTAATTTTACAGTTATCTGCATATGATGCAAACATTATATGTAAATAGGAGATATAGCCCAACATCAACGTCCCACGTAATAAACCTTATCTCGCCATATTCGATAAACGTATTAAAAGTAACTTACACATGATATGGTTTGGTAGCAAAAATTAAGATCACAAAAGGTATAACAAACAAGAACTCAGTAAAAAAAAAAAAATCATTAACAAGTGAAGATGGATAGTCAAGAACTAACTGTACATGGTTTTAAAGCACATATCCTGCTCAATATCATTCATTTTCTGTTAAACGTTTTAATCATTGAAGTCTTCCACAGTTTCATAATAAAAGCTGGAGAGTTGCGGAACTATTTTGAACTCTTAGAAATTAAGAAATTAAGTATTGTAGGCTAATTATAATGTGAATAAAAATATTTAAGACCTAATTGTGAGATATTCTTTTTTTTTTTTTTACAATAATGTATTACAATAATTAAAAATTTCTTTCTCAGGCTATTTTTTTTTTTAATTTTTAAACTAAAGACTCCATTGTTCTTGCTAAAACTACAGAATTGCAGTTACATACGTATTTCCTGGAAATCCGCTTAAATGTAGTTGTTTAAAAGGCTGGAGGCATTATCTTGTGAAAACTCGGCCGGTGACACCAGGGCAGGACTTAGGGTGGTGGGGGCCCCTGGGCTTGAGTCACTTTCGGGCCCTAGTTCTTTAATAAATCAAACACATAATACGAAAAAAAAAAACAACCACATGAATCATAAGACGATACCAGACATGACCACTCTAAAAAATGCAGGGTTGTTTCAACACAATTTTGGTTCAAATATGGACAAACCCTATTGTTGGATTAAAACTGCTGGGTTTGTCAATATTTGACCCAAAATTGGGTTAAAACAACCCAGCATTTTTTAGAGTGAATGAAGTCCAAATTAAACATGATTTAATGACTCGTAAATGTAAGTACACATTGATGGCCTAAGACACGAAACGAGCGATTTGTGTGAGAAACCGAACAGTATTTATATCGTTTTTACCTCTTGTAACCACAGCAACATCCAAGTGATCTGAGGTCGCGGGCGCTTCGGTCTGCGCATGCGCCGAGTAGAGCAACTCTACCTAGGACGGTGACAAAAAATAAAACGTTGCGCTTTTCTAAGCATGTAAAGTGGATAACTATAATGTATGGTGGAATACCACAGCAAGTGATTGGGAGCACTTCGACTCGGCGCAGTAATATCATCACTCGTGAAAAGTCCTCTCCTCCCTCTCACTCTCCCGAGCACTTGCTGTGGTATTCCTCCATACAATATAGTTATCCACTTTACCGCTTAGAAAAGCGCAACATTTTATTTTGTGTCACCGTCCTAGGTCGAGTTACTCTACTCGAGTAACTGTATTTAAATAGGGAAAACGTGGAGGTGTTTGGTCGCTTCTCTGCTTGGCCCATATTGAATAAACTGGGCTAGTTAAGTGCTATCAAAGTGTCTCGTGCACCAGAGCGATTGAGTGCAAGCACTGAGACGACAGAGGTATGCATCAACTCGTCTTAGTTAAGGGAATAACAGTTTAATATGAAAAAACGGTGGAGTATCCCTTTAAGTAAAGATAGCCTCCTTTTTTTTCAATACATATTAACAGGGTCGATTTTTTTATATATATTGGAACAGAAATTAAATTATTGATACAATAAAAATGTCCACTGTTGCTGCCCATGAAAAACATGCATTTAACTTTTTGTTACAACTTGATTGCGGGTACATTTTTAGTTAAAATCTGTCATCATTATTGACACTAGCTTAATTAAATATGAATTTTTTACCCAGCTGCTATTAGAAAAGCTACTGAAGGACAGACGTTTTACAACTATATTTGTGTAATTGTACTTTTAACTCAAAACCTTATATTTACTATAATCCATAACGCTGGTCTCACATAGATAGGCTATTCCATAAACGTGACTGTGTAGATAAAATGTTAGCAAAAATAAAGATCACGTTACACAGGTCAAACAAACAAAATCAACTAAAAAAAAACTTAAAATAGCATTAAAAACACATTTCAAAAGTGAAATTAAAGATGTGTCAAAAACTTTTACTCACCTCACTAATAGATGTTTTCACATGAACCTTGTTTTCAGTCCTCTTCCTCTTCGTCTATAATTCCCTCACTTTACTTACATTTATATACCCTCTGCATTTTGAGAACATGCATTCTCAACCATTTCATTTTCAGCAATTCAGCTATAATAGAAAGGAACCAAAACCATTCCTAAAACCACTTCTCTTTTCCAAAAGTCCAGTGCAGTTCAGCGAGCGTAAGCTTTATTCAAAATGCATGCTGAACCTATAGACCATTTCACAAGATGTAAACAACACTGGTCCAGAAGCACTTCCTGTTTCAGTTTTTTAACACTACATAAAAGCTGGGATAAAATACAACCAACAGAACATTTAAAACTGAATCAAAAAGTTAAACAAACATCTTTAAGATGTTTTCTTTACATGTGAAATAAAGAAAACAGTTACAAACTGAAACAGGAAGTGTTTCTGGACCAGCGTTGTTTACATCTTGTGTGGTCAATAGTTCTGCTTATAAGTTTACATACAACTTGGAGAATATATGCAAATATGCATTTTTTTATTTAATACTGTCCAAAGATCATCACTTTTAGAGTTTATAGATAATAACAACAAAATAATAAATGAATCTACACAAATGCACCACTTCAAAAGTTTACACACCCTTGGATATTAATACGGTGCGTTATGTGGGTGTTTAGCTGATGTTTTTAGGTTTTGTGATACTTGATACTAGGGAAACTACTGCTCTTTAGAGAAATCCTCCAGATCATGCAATTTTTCCTTTTCAACTTTTCCGAAGTGAATATTATTTTGGGTCCCACTTTATATTATATAATTACATTGAAATTAATAATTTGCTTCAATGGACTTAATGTGTACATATATACATGTTTTTACATAGTACTTACATTTTAAAATTCCAGCATTTAATTCCAGCGATAATTAATTTATGTAATTACATTTGTAATTACACAGTTGACCCTCCCCTCACACCTTAACCTACCTTTAAACCGACCCATACCACCACACCTGTCCCAAACCTTACCCGTATCACACCTCAATAGCAGCAAAAGTGTTTTACAATACAACAGGAACACAATAATACATTGTACTTATTGTTCAATGTAAGCACATGTAGAAAATTTTATTATTTAGAAAACAAGTAACTTAGCTATATAAGAAACCACATTTAGTTCCTGAAACTTTGGGTCTGACATTTAGAAGCTCAATGCTGATACAACAGAATACTATTTCAGTATGTCACATGGTACAATGTATTTTTAAAACTGTCTGACCTTCTATGAAAGAGGATGTATGTATATAACTCTGAACACAAAAGACTCGAAAGCGCAATAGGGCCGGAGGGCCAGTGGGACAGAGCGTTAGAGCAACTATGCTGCAGAAGTTGCTCGGCTTTGTTTGTGAATAAAGTCTAATATTTCTGGCATCAGAGATCTCTGAGAAGTCATTTCAAAAAGACAGAAACCACTTCACACATAGTACTTAAAGCCAAAAAGTGGGACCTTATTTTGAAATCGTTCACTGAGGTCAATTGAGGGACTCAATCAACTATTACAACTATTCACTTATAACTATTATAAGAGGAGCAAAAAGTTTACTGATGCTGAAGAAAGAAATACAATGCATTAAGTAGCCTTTTAAATGGGAAGATCGATTATTGTTAATATTTATAGAAAAGATCTCTAACATTGTGTTTTGCAACACTGCTTTGACAAAGTTGGATCGGTCAATCCAACTAAAATCAAAATTGCTAATCAAAACACAAAACATGCGACGTTCTGCTTTTTCAGATTCGCATCATTTCCAACATTTTTGTGGACAGATGACTGCAGATCATTTAATTCATTGCAAACTTCTCTATTGAGTTTATAATGCATTTTGAATGCACAGAAGACATCCTCGCTCACAGATGCTTGATGATGCAAGTTCTCAGTTCCGGAGCTAAAACCGTTGAAAGAGTATTGGGCGATATGGATAGATGATGTACTTTCAATTAAAGTACATATTGCTAAATAAGTTAGTAAGCACATAATAAAGATTGGCTTTTATTTTAGAAATATATCAAGTTTATTTTTGTTGTTGTTGCCTTTGATTGATTAGAGTAACATATTGTCTATAATAGCTTCCTCTATTTTACAAAGCCTTGATTAAGTGTCCCATATATCTCTGCTTTTTTATAACAAATGTAAAGTCTCTCACTCATCATTGCACTCTGTATGATTTAGTGGGTTGGTGGGTTTATTGACTACACATAGAAAACATATGCAACAGCATTGGTATTTCTTTATCTATAGTGAACTTCCAGTCAACCTCTTTAATCTTCTTTATATTAGCTCTGTAGTTGCACTCCTCCAAGGGTTTTGACATCTGGGGAAAACTGCTTTTTCCTATAATGCACCTTGAAAGATGAATAATTAGCATACACATTTGATTTGAATACACCTATATCTACTGATGAACTTAAAGTAAACTTAAAGAATCTGGTGAAGGAGACATATGATTGTTTTATATAAAATACTCAGCCAGTGTTTGGCCACTGAAAAGGTGCCGGAGGTCTTAATTTTGTTTTCAAAGTGCACTAAATTTATCCAGACTTCACAATTAGAAGAATAAGTTTGTCATTTTCCAAACAGATTCATATTTACAATGTTGATTTATGTTAATAAACGTATACTCTCTCTCTCTCTGAGTTACCTGCAGATTATGTTTAATTGTCAGCAAAGGTTTGTAAGCATTTTGCATCATATGACACACTTTTGAAAGCTCAAAAATTGTCAAGCTCAAGTTCAGGGATCAAACTTACACATTTCCTGTTGGAAAGACTGAATTAATATAGTTTAAAGGTTGGTGATATTCCTTAGCAAAAATTCTCGAAATGTCGCTCTAGCATGTTGTGTTGTGTTGCAGACTGGAGGCATTGGGCAAATATGACTTGCCAGCTGAGCACGGGCATATCACTCATATCGGATTAATTTATAATTGTTTGACAGCCAAATTAAAATATTAATCAGACCTATAAAATTATGTTATTAACCAGTTACAGGTAATAGTTCATAACAATTAAACGTAATTTTACTTTATGTTCCTGTTCAACTTTAGTTTGATTCCATATTTGTTTTCATTTCTTGAACCGGTTCAGAGACCTGGTTCTCCGAAATTAAAAAAAAAAAAAAGACATGAGAGGATATTCCAAGATTTTGTAAGAGAATATGTTTAATTCTAAGAAAAGCCCGTAGTCTTCCCTTTTCTACACAATCAGACTTGTGCAAATATTATGAGCATAAAAGCAAAGCCCCTGATTCAATGAACTCTCTTGACACACTGATGATGAGGCAAAAATGTATCATGTGATTTACCATAAATTGGATGTTTCGATTAAAAAATGTATAATGTGATGCAAGTTCCACAGCACTTCAGAAAATGTATTTATCAATACTTTATTTTTAAGGTTTTCAGATGACCTGTTAAAGAGTTTGTTCAAAGCAACTCTTTAATGAAAAATAATGACCTCCTTTAAAGCTGGGATTGTCCTCTTAGCTCAATGATCTCTCAAGTCAAAACAAATGTTTTTTTTTTTTTTCTATGGAATAGCATAAGCATTACCCACAAGTTTTGTTCTATTATATTGCTTCAGTCACAGTTGCCGTTTCACAGGCTCTTCAGCGACGCGGCTTTTGAAAAGTGTGATCTCGTCCAGGTGGCAAAGTGGCATACCTCTGATCACATGGGCCAGGTCCTCGTGCAGTAAAGGGTAAATCACCACACTAAGGGCTGGACGAGAAATTGAGAAACTGCGAGGGGGAAAAGAACAAACAAGATATTTGAATATTCAATATTTGATGTGGACCAGGTTACTTTCTGTACAACAACCCAGACACCAGCATAGTGTCGGCCGAGATCCGGTCCACATCTGGTACATGTGGATTCAACACACTCCAGATACGGGCCGAATCTGGGCCGACACTATGTTGCTGTCTGGAAATTATTCAGGCATTAAGTCTTTATTGTTAAGAATTCATTAAAACAACTAACCTTTCCAGCAGGGTTTTCTGCAGTGTTTTACATGCCACCAGGGTACCTCCCATGAACATGTGGCACATGATGACATCAGTGCAGCTCTGCATGAAGGCCGTCACAGCGGCGGGCTGGAAGGTCCCATGTCGAGAAACCAGACAAACACGCCGCAGCTGCCGACACCGACTGAGCTCTTCAAAAAATGCGGCGTTCGCATTAAAGTAGGGCTGCTCCAGCCTGCAGTTTCACACACACAGACAGTGAATAAATGCATAAGTTAGGGGAATAAAATATTCTGCTAAATATTATATTAATAATTAAGTTATCCTGGTTCTCATTCTAGCATGTTGCATGTTAACATCTCTTATAAAATAATATTACATTCCATTTTATGAATGCAAGTGCATCAAGACGATACATGGTCCATCAAAAAGAAGCTATGTGACTGTTGCATGTCACATTTTACTTTAATAATGGAGCCATTATTTTTTCAGGCACATCGAAATAAAATTATGAGAAACAAAATAAATGGACAATGTTATTGTGACAGCTGCCATTTAGCTAAGAAACTCTCAAAAATATAATGGTGCAAGTGTCATAACCGCAGATTTCTCTTGTTGATCTTTTCAAATTTGACCAAAACATATTTGTAATTTTAGATGGGGGGGAAAAAGAATCAGACATTCTGAATTCAGACAGCAATAAACCACAAACTAACTCTTGTAAGTGTTCAATCAACTGATGTCCCCATGAAAAACAATTAACATCTGTAAAGGTTTTAAAGGTTTGTAAAATCTGTTTCATAGTGTGTCATCATAAGAAATTAATTAAACTTCTACTATCACTATGTATTTATTTATTAATTTTTAAATGTGTGCACCATACTTAGTATAGATCAAAACATAATTGAATTTTTTTTTTTTTGTGATTAATGAGCCAGATTCATGTAACTGCACAGTTTGCCCCAAAAACACTTATTGTAAGGAAATAATAAAACAATATAATTTCAACATACAGGGTGTATAGCAATCCTTTCAGTATGGCGCTGCCCCCTACTGGTGAGCTGCAGTTGTAATATTTACAAATGTGTGGCCTGGCTGGTGAAATATTTTTTTGCTATGACAAGTCTACATTAAGAGTTTTGTGTAGCCCTCAATCGGGTCATGGGGTCTATACGACCCCTTTCGACTTTTACTTAATAAAAAAAAGGTTCCCTTCATCTCAGTGGAATAAGATTGTGACTTTTCATACATTATCAATCTATACACACACAAAAAACTGGGCTTGATTCGGTTGTTCTGAAGGCATGTAAAAAAAATGTCTACACTTCTGGTCTTCGGGGTCAATATGACCCCACATTGAAATGAATGGGAAATGTGAAAAAACTAAATATATTTTCTTCATGTGTCAAAAAAACAACAACAAAAAAACAGCATAAATCTGAACATTTTTACACATAAATGAAGGCCTAGAGCATAAATGCAATGTATCATAAAAAAATAATATTTCATATGCAAGCAAATGGTGTAGTTGAGGAATTGTGTGGTATATGGACACAAAAGTACTTTATATCTCCAAAAACACAGCATTAATGAATAAATGAGAAGTAAACAAAAAAAATGATTTGTGTGATTAAAAATGTATATTTTTTGTGTGATTAAAAATGTATATTTTTTGTACAATTACTCAATCAATTGTTGGGGTCGTATAGACCCCGAAGCCCAGTAGTGGTAGTAGTACAGAAGTGTAAACAGGAAACGAAGACCATATGAAGGTTAATTTTGAGCATGTAGTGTTTAGTGACGTGTGCGTTCACCTTAAATCCCTGAGTTGTGTGCAGTGGGAAAGAGCCTCCAGCAGGGCCTGCGTGTAACTCATGGTCTTTAACGATCCGAGATTTGCCAGCGATAACGAATGAAGGTCCTCGCACCCCTTCAGCAGCTCGATCAATCCTGTCCCCTTCAGGACTCCCGGTAAGTGAGCGAGGGTGAGCTTGCGCAAATTTTTCATCCCTCCTAACGCAGCTAACTCATTGTCTCTGACATTGTAGGACCAGGGGCATGCGACGGGGTCCTTGCGGATGGCCGGCTCATTCCGCGGCATGGCAGAGGAAAAGCCCGCGCCGATCAGCTCCAGCTCCGCCAAATGTGGGCAACCTTGAAGCAGCGGCTGAATGCAGAAGCCTCTGTCCTGATGCTCTTCACCCTGACCCTCGATGACCCCTGTCGAGGGTCGATATGTGGGCACACCGACACGGCTGCTCTTTTTAAGGCCGAGAAGTAGCGACCTTGGTGTGAGGTCTGAGTTGGAGTCCTGAATGTTCACAGGTGTTGGAGAGGACTGCGCCAAGGCACACACCGGAAGTGCCAGCGAGCGCAAGGAGGCAAGACGTCCTAAAGCGCCACACAAGTGTCCATCTTGCCCAGTGGGAAAAGCATGGTGGTAGTGCGTGGCGGATAAATTAAGGTGAACAAGATGTGGGCAACATTCAGTAAGTGCTTTGATGCTCTCCGTGTCCATCTCCTCCTCGCTCTTACCGCAGCTCTCGGCGAGAGGTCCTCGGCCACAGCCACGCAGGTTGAGACTCCGTAGGGGTGTGAGGTCTCGACCCGCACTGAGCAGGACATGTAGAGGGTTAAACCCTGGAGATGAACAGTGCGAGACATTCAGGTAAACGGGGCAGCCATGCGTTAGGACTCGCCCTAGGATAGCACCATCCAACCACGTACGTGGAAGCTGGAGAGCGCTAACGCTATTTCCCACTGTTGACGCCATGCTCTCCATTAGCGCTGTCATTGCAACCGGCCTTGGCGGTGCGACCCCTGGCACAGAGAGCACCAGTCCTGTAAGCCCCTCAGGCACTCTCATACTGAAAACAGCCAAGTAGAGCGCCAACAGAGTACGATTGACTTCCCCAGGTGCGAGGCGTGCGGAGAACCAGCGCAGGTTCTGATAGTGCGGGACGCTGCTCTGGCCCACCATCAGCTGCGCACACCCGCCTGCTTCCCTCCAGCCCTCGCTGGCCTCCAGATACAGGTGAAGGCGTCGTAGGGCACTGCAGCATGGCACCACCCCATAAGAGGGAGTCAACAATGTCTGCTTGAGCTCCTGCAGGCGAGCCAAAGCTGATTTACCCTCTGCACTCAGCTGCTGGAGGTCGAACCCAGGCCCCACATCTAATGCCAGAGAGCACAGAGAACGAAGAGAGGTCAGCAGATTCGAAAGCCGAATTGACGTCAAACGGCAGCCGGAAAGGTCCAGGCTGACTAGACCCTTACAGCGGGTGACCTGATCCACCGTAGAGCCGGCCAACCAGTAGCAGCCACTGAGGTTTAAAGTCTGGATGTCACCGGAGAGGTTCTTCAAGAGCTGCTTCACAGCATCGTCATTTGCCTGTGAATGAGAAGCCGTTCAAAAGGTAAGATTTTCAGGCATTTCATAATTAAACATTTGGTTTTCTGTTATATTTAGTTGCAAGTTCTGCTTGACAACTTTTTAAAACCTGTTAGATAGGTGGAATTATCATAGATGGCATAAACATAGATGACTAATGGCACTTTTCCACTACACATAACCAGAATGTTTGGTTTTCCACTGTGTAAAAGTTGTACCTGTTCCTGCTTTCGGGTACTTTTTTTTGGTGAGGTTCTGAGCGAGCTAAGGCGATACTAAAGTGTGACGTGAAAACAATGCCGACTGCTGATTGGTCAGAGAGAATTGTCACCATTCACTGCGTCATAATTGCACGCGCCAGATGGAGTATCCAGAATAACCCCGTCAATTTTAAATAGTTTGGTCTTAAAAAAACAAACTGGTCTACTATTATTATGGCAACTCGGAAGAAAACGCTGTGGTCAAACGAGGAGGTGCAGACTTTCCTTTGTTTGGTTGCCGAAGAGAGGATCCAGCGAGAGCTTGATGGGGCAACGAGGAACGAAAGGTGACCGGGTACTATTTGTGGTGGTACTGTCTGCAATGGAAAACGGAGCGAAAAGCGAGGAGAGTCGAGCTGGTACTGAAAAAGTGTCGTCGGTGGTGATGGCGCAGTGGATAAGACACATGCCTTTGGTGTGAGAGACCCGGGTTCGAATCCACTGTGAGACACCAATGTGTCCCTGAGCAAGACACTTAACCCCTAGTTGCTCCAGAGCTGTGCGACCTCTGACATATATAGCAATTGTGAGTCGCTTTGGATAAAAGCGTCAGCTAAATGAATAAATGTAAATGTAAATGTGCCATTACATAGATGAGATTTTGTTGAAATTGCAAAAGTGACTTAATAATAGTCTTGGTAGCCTATGAAAGGGATGAAATTGACATTATTTTCCAAGAAAAGGTGTTTATGAACTAATACTTTCCTGTATAATTATTGCAAATTAAAATTATTGCTCTTAATGCAATTTAACTGTTTTCCCCTATGCACATTTGCTGAAAAAAAATTCAATTATATGTGAAAAATGTAACCGTTTTAAAATAAATAAACATTAAAAATAAATATACATTTAAAGTCACCATGAAACAGAAATTGTGATCATCTTTTAATCCCTATTGTGATTTTATCAGTAAAAGTGACTTCTCAAACGGAAGGGCGGACTTGATTTTGTCCATCAGGAATTGAGTGGATCGTTGTCATTTGCTAATTGCTGCACTCTCATGTGAGGGACAGGTTGCTGGAGGGAAGAGATTATTGTCCTGTGTTTTTTGCGAGGGGAGGGGAAGTTAATGTCTTGGATTAAAAATTATAAGGGCACAAAATTTGTTTAAAAAAAAAATGTGCATATTTTATTAATTTTATTTTGTGTGTTGGGTCAGCGAATATGTCAGGAGAAAAAAATCTGAACCCTCATCAGGTATCACAACACTATAATACACAATTGACAAGATGGTTAATTGTTGAACAGTTCTGAAACATTAAATAGAGTAGTACAGTGTAATGGTATTTGAAAAATACACCCCTTATATCTGCCCTAATTAAACCAGTGTGTTTGTCAAAAATACCCTAAAGTTCATGAGAGAAAGTGTGTGTTTTTTAGGCTTACCGTATACTCTTTATGCAGGTGTACATGTGCTCTCAAGCTCTTGTCCAGACAGAGAGTTTGAAGTTTTCGGCAAACTTGACTCACTTTGAGCATCAGGTCATGACTAGGAATGAATCGCAGAATATTCAGTAGAATCTCATCTGAGAAGTCCGAGATGGTGACAGAAGTTTGGGAAATGCTATCTAGGCAGCACAGAGCCTGGAGAGCAGCAAAAAGAAAAAGTCATTAAAAATAGCATAGCACTAGTTTGACCTGGGTTTTTTGCTTGTTTTTTAAACAGTTCATTGTTTACTAAATTTGACATTAAAGTCCATCATGTTCGGTTTCGAAAAATCTCCAATGTGTGGTGACCACCACTACTGTCAAAACAAATGTCAAATGACAGAAAACTTTCAGACCGTTAGTTAGCCTACACATTATTTTTTCGCTGGTAAGAATTAACGGTATTTAAATCTTTATTACAGTAGTACAAACGTCGGTAATATAGTATTAACAGAAACCATGGTAATCATGGTGAAATTTAGCGAGGGGTTATTTTAGATATCTGCATGGTTATCTGTCCCGTAAGCCTGCATATTCGTGTCCCAAATAATATCTATATTTATCGTTTCAAAACATTACTGTTGTAAAAATAAATTCATCTTTGGATGCAACAAAATGTAGAAGCTAACTATCACTATATTAGCATGAATGAACAGTACCCTGTTGTAACTTACCGTTTCAATTTGATTATCCATACCGCTTTAGGGAAATGTGTTTGGACTTAAATGATATACAAAAACAAAAGCTTGCCATCTCAATAAATGTATAAGTCATCCATTGTTGAACAAAAATGTGTCTGGCACTGTAGGCACACACACATAGCGGAAACAAAATGTAACACATTCGGAACTTTTTGGGAGACGTACATACTTCCGGTACAAAGCAACTAGTAAAAAGGTCCCCGGGTGGTCTAAATTTGGAAAACCAAATTGACATATTTTCTATTATATTTTTTTCCGTATTCAAATTGCAATCAAATCTAACAGTAATTAGGAGGATAATGTAAATCAGAGGTCTTCGAATCTGCTCCTAGGAAGCAACTGTTTTTCTTCCCATTCTGCCTTCGCAGCACACCAACTGTTGTATTTTCAAGCTACGCTAAAGAGCTTGATTAGCTTCAGGTGTGTTTTATTAGGGTTGGAGCTAAACTCCGCCGGACAGTAGCTCCCCAAGATTACAGAATGTAAATTCACTTATGGGGTTGACAAGAAATATATGAAAGGCCTTTCCCCCCCAAAAAACTAGAAGGTAAGATTATGAACATGTGGAGGCAAACCCACGAGACAGTTAATAATATGCTCAGGTTTCCCAGTCCATAACTGTAGGTCCAAATCTCTCAAAAACATGCTATTTATGCAAGAACTTATTGAAAAAGTAACATTCCCTTTATTTTTTACTTGTGACTGGTGTAAAAAAGTAAATAAGTTAAGTTTTGCTTAAAAAAAAAAAAACTTTGTAAACATATAGGCCTCACCTAGTTTAAGCAGGGCTTAAACTGTCATGTATATAGTAAAGCAACTACTTGAATACAACCCTAATAGTGGACTTTTTTACAGCTAGGATTAGGCCTTAGTTAAATTAGAGCATTTAAATACCCTTTATTAGAGACAAAACAATGGCAGTGCCATGTTAAGATGTCTGCAAGTTGCTTTTTATAACATTTTAGCCAAGGACTAAGCCTAAAATCTTGTCTGAAATCAGGGGTTATCACCACAAAGCAATCTAAACTGCAAGAATGAATTTAAAGAATCTGCTATTGTTACTCATCTTTAACTAAATCCCTTGTGCTTTTTTAATTTAGACCGGTATATAAAAAAAAAAAAAAAAAAAAAAAAAAGAATCGAAACTTTAGACCAAGATAAGACTCTTAACTTGGTCTTAAGTTTCCATTAGATTCAAGTAAGCTTGTCAAATATAAACCAAAGAAATATTGAAGACAGTAGACATTATGTGGTTTTACATGTGCACGTTTTATTTGGGTTTACTTGTCAGTGTACAGAGACACCCTGGCTTACATACGCAAGGGATCATCCCTAAATCACATACCCTAGGGGAGTCCTGCAAGATATTCACTTTTTAAAAGGTAAAGCTTTCCCCTTTGCAACAATAACAAACTGGGCCAAGTTTAAGGCTGAAGTACAAAAGAAAAACAAATGTATTGAGTACATAATTTACATAAACACTATAACAAAGGTCATGTATGCCCACTGTGACGAGGGCAAAGTGATAGACACGTCTGGAATGACTAAAAGAAGAAATGTACATTGAAGTCCTCTCGGGGAAAGCTTCTCCCCCTGCAAGACAACTACCTCCCTTTCCAGTTTACGCATCCTGAGTCAATGCGCCATACAGAGCAGAAGCCATGCTGATGTCATCTTGTTCGAGAGGTTTAGGTTGGTCGTTTGAATCCTAATGCATGGCCATTAAATGGTGGCAACAGTTCTGTTTAGAAGCACTTCCTGTGGACGATGGATGGGCCGGACTCATCGTACTCCTGCTTGCTGATCCACATCTGCTGGAAGGTGGACAGGGAGGCCAAGATGGAGCCACCGATCCAGACGGAGTATTTGCGCTCAGGGGGAGCAATGATCTACAAGAGAAAAGAGATGTTAGCTCATCCTTAACCGCTGCAAGCTAACTTTAAGTCTCATATTTGCATGCATTTAAGGTGCATACCTTAATTTTCATGGTGGAAGGAGCAAGGGAGGTGATTTCTTTCTGCATACGGTCAGCAATGCCAGGGTACATGGTGGTACCTCCAGACAGCACGGTGTTGGCATACAGATCCTTACGGATGTCAACATCACACTTCATGATGGAGTTGAAGGTAGTCTCATGGATACCGCAAGATTCCATACCTGCATAAAGAACACAAGTTAGTCATCATAGCAAACAAGTTGATACAGGGATTGGTTAACGCACAACCCATTTAAGTGAACAGCATGAAACTCACCAAGGAAGGATGGCTGGAAGAGAGCCTCGGGGCAACGGAAACGCTCATTGCCAATGGTGATGACCTGCCCGTCAGGCAGCTCGTAGCTCTTCTCCAGGGAGGAAGATGAGGCAGCGGTTCCCATCTCCTGCTCGAAGTCCAGGGCCACGTAACACAGCTTCTCCTTGATGTCACGGACGATTTCTCTCTCGGCCGTGGTGGTGAAGCTGTAACCACGCTCGGTCAGGATCTTCATCAGGTAGTCTGTCAGGTCACGACCAGCCAGATCCAGACGCAGGATGGCATGGGGAAGAGCATAACCCTCATAGATGGGCACGGTGTGGGTAACACCATCACCAGAGTCCATCACGATACCAGTAGTACGACCAGAAGCATACAGGGAGAGCACAGCCTGGATGGCCACATACATGGCAGGGGTGTTGAAGGTCTCGAACATGATCTGTAGGAAAAAGCAAAGTTAATTTAATAAGTAATCCCCTTTAGACACTTCCAAATCCAAACCAATACAAGGTTAAGGAAGCAATAATGGGCAGGAAACCTCCCTGGCACACCATGCTGGTACAGTTCACACTCAAGACAATGCTAGTAGGAAGTGTTAGAAATGCAAACACGCAAGAAAGAAAAGGGAGAAGCAAAGATGGATGAACCTTTTGAACCTCAGAACAGAGTTCATGGAAGAGGACAGAGAGCCTGAGAGGAAATGGATGGAAAAGAAAATGAAAAGAGGGACCAAAAGCCAAATAGTAGTAGGGGCCATATGAATCAGTCACAAAACACACCTGCGTCATCTTTTCCCTGTTGGCTTTGGGATTCAGGGGAGCCTCTGTAAGCAGGACAGGGTGCTCCTCAGGAGCAACACGCAGCTCGTTGTAGAAAGTGTGGTGCCAGATCTTCTCCATATCATCCCAGTTGGTAACAATACCGTGCTCAATAGGATACTTCAGGGTCAGGATACCTCTCTTGCTCTGAGCTTCATCTCCCACATAGGAGTCCTTCTGTCCCATGCCAACCATCACTCCCTAGAGGAAGTAAAATTAAAGATTAGTAAACAACCCAGTGAAAGAGGAAGTGCAAAGAAAAGCAAGCAGTTTAAATATTTCAAAGCCATAAGAGGGAACACACATTTATAAGACTGTGAAAGTCATCAGAATTAAAATAAAATTACTGCTGTCAGTTAAATTCAAAGTTCACATCTGATAGTTAAATGATGACAGATGAATAGCAGTTTTAAGTTATCATTAGCAATTTGCAACATAACCACTGAATTAATTTGAGCTTAGCCAACTGTACTTAGCCAACTGAGCTGATTAACTGAAATATAAGTAAAATTATAATCACATAATTACAAAACTCCTGTCATTACAGTGGAGCTGTTTAGATAGAAAAACTCCATAATGTAAATGTCACTTAAAATGTTAACCATTATAATGCATCTTTTGTTTTTAATTCTACATTTATGCATATGGCATTTAAAAACACTTAACGTTTGAATAGGTTACTTGATGCCCCGGTGAAAATAAAATGATTATTATATACCTGATGCCTGGGTCGACCAACAATGGAAGGGAAAACAGCACGAGGGGCATCATCTCCAGCAAAACCGGCTTTGCACATACCGGAGCCATTATCAACGACCAGGGCAGCGATTTCCTCATCCATGGCTGTACAAAAAGAAAGCGAAATCGTTAAAATACTGCAATCCTTTAGTTTCTCATAGGCAGCGAGAAGGCTCGAGTAACGTGTGACGACTGTCCAGTAGGCGGCGCAAAGGCGCAGGGTTGAAACCAAGCGATTTGAGACAAAGGAAGTGGTCAGGCAGTCTCACTATTGCCTTATATGGCAATAAGTTCGAGCAGCTCAATGCCGCCGATTCAGCTCGTGGAATCAGACCAACGGACACGACCACTCCCAGTTTCAAAGGCCGAGATAAGCGCTTTACCAAACGACCACCATTGTAATCCTGATGCCTGAAAAACTAACCTCTATCAAAATGATCTGTATTGCAGGCATTTCAGTGGATACTACAAGTGCTGATACATCCCATTTAGTTATTAGGAATGACACGGCTGTATTTTTATTTTTTGCAGCCAAACGGTTAACAAGAAACTTAATATTAAACGTTTAACTTAGACCACAGTTAACGTTAAACGAAACAAACGGCTGTGATGTTAAATATGCCGGTTAATGCTTTAAAGTAGCCACACCCACCATTCAAACTGCTAACACATCCACGGAGGAAACTACGCCACTAAAATCCACATTTAACTGCGTATATAGATTAAAATGCATTTCACGCACAAAGCGCGGATTTAAACCCTCTAATTACAAAAACCGGTTAACGTTAAGTCCTTCCGATTAAGAAAGCTAAAATTGCGACCGGTTGATACTAATGCAAGATCCATAAAAGCACAATATATTTGTAACCTTAAGAGTAACTTACAGCTATAAAACAAAATCCACATTAAAATTACACGGTTTACTCAAACTGCATTCACAATTAAAACTCAATCGCATAACGTCATCAATAAGAACTGGATATGCGTAGCTTACGCAATTAAAACAATAAACCTTTAACCAGCGACATTGCAAACAATATCATTATACCAAATGCCATAAAATATTATTAAAAAGGCTTTCTCACCTGTGTATTAGTAGGTTATTGTGAACAAGGGGTATGAAGCTCTTCTCAGCGTGCACTGAAAACTCACAATACTCTATGAGAGGTGGGTCACACTTTTATACCCTGCGCTGGGGCCGGCTCTTTCCATATAAGGTAAACTTTCGGCATCGAGTGGTATGATTGGCCAGCCTTCGTCCATTTGGCGAGTTTCAAGCTAGTTGCTTGAAATTCAAGTTCTCTTCTGAGTCTGACTGAGTTGTATGGCAGGGCTAATCGAACTGG